GCACTCTTGCTAATCATACACTTAGCCCCTTTGCTTTGTAACCAGAAGCAGAAAAGAATATTGTCAAAGAAATTATGCTTTTTCACTTTATAATCAATAGAGCCCCCCTTTCACCAGAACCCCAACCCTGGGACCATGAATTTTATAATTTTTGAAGAGGCACCCTGCTCATCATAACCATGTACTTAGTTAGTTTGTTTAATACGCTGTAGCAGAGAACATGATCTTTCAAACAATAAATGCATTTTCATTTCATAGAGCCCTGTCCTAACACCATATTCCTGACCCAGAGGCCATGAAATTCACAATTTTGGAAGAGGCACCCTTGCTCATCATAACTATGCACTGAGTTATTTTGTTTAATACCCAGGAACAGAGAAGATTTTCAAAGAATCTGCATCTTCACTATATAATCAATAGAATCCCGCCCCAACACCAGAATTAATGCATTTTCACTGTATTATCAAAAGCGCCCCACCCTAGCATCAGAGCCCCTAACCCTGGGAATTCCCCAATTTTGATAGAAGGTTCAATGCTAATTACAATCATGCCAACAGTATGACTGTTTGACTGCTTGATGTCTAGGAGTAAAGAAGATTTTTTTACGATTGTATTAATTTTGTTGGTTTTAACCCCACCCCTCAGGCCCCAAGGGGGGGGGGGGCTCAGGAATCACGAATTTTACAATTATTCTTCACCTATAGATGCTATATACGCCAAAAATTGGTTGAAATTGTTTAAGCGGATCCATATAAGAAGTTGAAGATGTTCAAATGTTAACGCACGACGCACAACACATGACAGACGACGACAAACAAAAACGAATAGCAATATGTCACCTGAGTGACTCAGGTGACCTAAAAATCACATGCAGCATCCAAATCATAGTTACTGATATGCATAGCCAGTTGCAATATTTATACAGGTTTTGACCATTTGGATTCTACTGACTTCAGATTTTAAAAGTTCTACTTTTATATTGAAGGAAATTCACACGACAATCCACAAACTGGACAGATGTAACATCTGTATTCTTTCTAATTATGATAAGGTTCTTTATACTTTTTCCCCCTGTGGCCTTAAGCACATGTACATCATTTGATATAGGATAGGATACATAGAGACTATATATTTAAGATTGTTTATTCCGAGTAAAAACTGAAAATTACAATGAGTTATCATATATATATATATATATATATATATATATATATATATATATAATATATATATATATATATATAGATGAACTTCGGTATCTCGAACACTGATATCTCAAATACCATGGACATGTCGAAGTGATTTGGAAGTCTCAAGCCCTTATTCTTTTAGTATTTTACCCTGGATACAGTGGCTGCAACGTTATTGTTGACAACTTACACGAACGATCACGTTACATGAACGATTCCGCACGATTAACGCACGATAAAATCTGTTACACGAACGATCCTTCACGCACACGATTCTACACGTTATACGATCTTACACGATTGCTAACGCTAACGCACGATTCTTCACGCAAAATAGTTCAAATTCTTTAGGAATGGATATTTTCAAAACGAAATAAGGCTTAATACTTATTTTAGATTTCAAATAATTACATGTATTGATATTATTTCATCGACTTTGAAAAATGAAAATAAAAGAAGAAAGAAATGGATATTTTTGGAAGTAAATACATGTAAGACATTAATTATTTTAGATTACAAATAATTATTTACGTAATTCGACGACTTAAGAAAACTGATTTTTTCCCCCCTTCTATCAGAGGATGTACATGTAGATGGACCATGAGTTTTGATTTCGTAATATGCAGAAAGGGATAAGTTTGAAAAAAAAAATGCCTATTGGCACGAAAATGAATTAAATTATAAGTTATATTCATGTTTCCATTTGTGAATCTCTAAAATCAACAATTATTTTACAAGTCATTTATTTGCAGAAATTATAAAAATAATTAAAAGTAAGCTCCAGATAAAACACTGATAAACGAAACCCCGACAATCATTTATTTGTAAAAATATCTATTTTTGATCAATTGATTTTAAAAATATCTTCACCATAATTAGCAGTAAACATAATTAACATTAGAGAAAAATTTTTTAAACATCTAAGTACGGTTTATCACAAAAAATCATGCTATTTGACGAGAACACAATATTGTACGACTTACTATATTGCTTATTTCCAAGCGATAATTAGTTCGTTCTGCTTTCAGTTATGTAAATCGCGCTTCATTTATTTTATTTGGATTGGAAAAAAACAGACAAGTGAAATGCTTATATAGCATATAACATTCCGATAAAATCTTACAAAACGAAATTTACACGTTTTTTAACGCACGATCACGCACGATTAAAACCGCAAACGATTGAGTCTGATACACACACGATCTCGCACGTTACACGAACGATTCTACACTATTGGTTTGTCAACAATAACGTTGCAGCCACTGTATCTCGAATCCTCGAATAGTTTTTTCTCGGTCCCATTGAGTAACGTACATGAACCAGTGCGCCATATTGCTTCAAAGACATATTTAACTAGTGAATTCTTTTTATGGAATCCAAATTCAGGGACCCCCCCCCCCCCCGACCACCAACACCAAAAAAAAAAAGATATTCCTTTTTTCAACACAATTTTGTGTAAATATTTTGTCAGAAGTATGACCAGTGTTTACAAAATTATCAAAACTGATGAACAAAATTTTTGTCAGTAGTTTTCCAAATGGAAAATATGAAGCGAATGTATCAAGCAACAAGACAATATTGCATGTTTTGAAAATCATGATAAAACGACTATCATTCATTATCTAAAATGTTTGATATATGCACACACCTTTCCTGAGAAAAAAAAATAGATGAAGTCAATTTTAATTGTATTTTTCAACAAGAGGCCCAAGGGCCACATCGCTCACCTGAGCACTGTGGCTAGGAAAAAAGGAAAAATCAGTTTAGTATTGAAAAGCTTAAATGATAAGTGGTCTCAACCTACTCCTAAAAAGGGAGGGGGGGGGGTCATGATTTGAACAAACTTGAATCTACACTATCTGAGGATGCTTCCACATAAATATGACAAACCGTGGCTTTGCTGTTCTTGAGATTTTTAAAGATTTTTCCTATACATGTATATTCCTATGTAAAACTTTGATCGTCCAATGTGGCCCCACCCTATCCCCGGGGGTCATGATTTGAACAAACTTGAATCTACACCACCTGAGGATGCTTCCAAATAAATATGACCAATCATAGCTTTGCTGTTCTTGAGAAGAAGATTTTTGAAGATTTTTCCTATGTACACCTATGTTAAACATTGATCGTCCATTTTGGCCCCACCCTACCCCTGGGGGTCATGATTTGAACAAACTTGAATCTACACCACCTGAGGATGCTTCCATAAAAATATGACCAATCATAGCTTTGCTGTTCTTGAGAAGATTTTTAAAGATTTTTCCTATATATTCCTATGTAAAACTTTGATCGTCCAATGTGGCCCCACCCTACCCCCGGGGGTCATGATTTGTACAAACTTGAATCTACATCACCTGAGGATGCTTCCAAATAAATATGACCAATCATAGCTTTGCTGTTCTTGAGAAGATGATTTTTGAAGATTTTTTCCTATGTACACCTGTGTTAAACATTGATCGTCCATTTTGGCCCCACCCTACCCCTGGGGGTCATGATTTGAACAAACTTGAATCTACACCACCTGAGGATGCTTCCATATAAATATGACCAATCATAGCTTTGCTGTTCTTGAGAAGAAGATTTTTGAAGATTTTTCCTATATATTCCTATGTAAAACTTTGATCATCCAATGTGGCCCCACCCTACCCCCGGGGGTCATGATTTGTACAAACTTGAATCTACACCACCTGAGGATGCTTCCAAATAAATATGACCAATCATAGCTTCGCTGTTCTTGAGAAGAAGATTTTTGAAGATTTTTCCTATATATTCCTATGTAAAACTTTGATCATCCAATGTGGCCCCACCCTACCCCCGGGGGTCATGATTTGTACAAACTTGAATCTACACCACCTGAGGATGCTTCCAAATAAATATGACCAATCATAGCTTCGCTGTTCTTGAGAAGAAGATTTTTGAAGATTTTTCCTATATATTCCTATGTAAAACTTTGATCGTCCATTGTGGCCCCACCCTATCCCCGGGGGTCATGATTTGAACAAACTTGAATCTACACTACCTGACAATAGTTCCACATGAGTTTCATCTTTCCTGGCCCACTGGTTCTTGAGAAGAAGATTTTTCAATAATGCCATTAATTTTTTGCTATTTCGTAATTATCTCCCCTTGGAGGAGGGCGTGGCCCTTCATTTGAACAAACTTGAAACTCCTTCACCCAAGGATACTTTGTGCCAAGTTTGATTGAAATTGGCCCAGTAGTTCTGGAGAAGAAGATGAAAATGTGAAAAGTTTACGACAACAACGACGCCGCCGCCGCCGCCGCCGACGACAGACAACGGACAAATTTTGATCAGAAAAGCTCACTTGAGCCTTCGGCTCAGGTGAGCTAAAAAGGAAAATCGAGGAAAATAATATAACGTTACGTCATACACAAACGGTGCCTCCATCGGGACAAAATATTGACTGATTTATCACTTGCTGATTAATTTATTCCCATAATGTGATTGAAAGAGACAATTCAAAATGATTAATGTACTCAAGTTTTACAGCCTGGAGTATCTGAAGGATAAATAAAACCTTCTAAAAGCTTTCTATTACATGCAATAGTTAACAGTCCCAAAATATAAAAAAAAATATTGGCTAGGAAAGACTCATCCAAGCCTCTGGTTATAAAGACGGAAATTTACAAAAAATACGTGCATATAGGTTCAACTCATGGTGTAACTAAATCAAATAAATGAAACTTACAAAGAGTAATATAAAAGAATACACAGGTAAATTCTCTTGATATAGGCTTAATGAATAGCATTTTAATATATCTATAGTTTTTTTTTTTACTCCTTTTAAACATCATGCTGAACATGGGCGTGGCATCAAAGTGACGTCATCGATTGCTATATCGCTCTGGTATGACTTTCCTCTAACTGACATAATAATAAGCTAAAAAAGAGCAAAAACAATTACATGTATAATATACCATAAATGCAGTTCCAAGGTCAAATGTGGTTCAGTTTTAACAATAAACTGTCCTGGTAATCAAGCTAAAATATTTTATACACGTAATATATTAAAGAATAATTTTGATATGTGACCGTACTAAATTGTCAGAATAAATGTTCTGCATATTCCATGTATTTTTAAATAAAACGCTGTTTAATTCAATTTTAACCTTGTGGTCAGGATAAGAAAATAATGTTCAGAGCTTTCCCTTTCAGTTTAAAACGAATCAAAGGTCGTTTCCTAATAACACAGGACGACTAGCATACCATCTGTGTTTACACAGAAAAGTAAAGAAACATACCATGTGATAGAAACATTATCTATCCTATTAAAAACCTTACTATATCATTATATATAATATCAACGCTTGAAGAAAAAATCAGATTAATCACAATTTAACTGTAAAGTATGTGTTTTACAAATAAAATACTATAAAACCTAAGAAAAGTAGAACATTTATGTAAATATAACATATAACATTGATTGGCCTCCTACTTTCTTAATAGTTTTAGAAAATAGTGGAGCTTTTAAAGACAAAAATATGTACATTTACACCACCTTTTGAATAACTTAGCAAATAGGAAACGAGTGTTTTAAGGGACAAATTTTGCATTATTGTAAAGGAATGACTGGGTTTCTATCTGACTCTAAAATTTCGGGGAAGGGAGAAGAGCAGAATGATCTATGATATATAATTGTACCAGTATCATTGGAAAACAGCTAAATTGTCGCTTATGAATAATATGCAAGTTTTTACCCTTGTCTTTCTATCAAGTGGTAAATCGATATCAACTTTGTGCCATTCTTTCCCCTGTGTTCCATTGACGGAAAATTGTTTTTTAAGTAATCCGAGGTTAGTGTTGTACGTATAGATAGAAATTGTCCCCATGCCGCTTCCATACATGTGGTAGGCCAAGCTCAAGCAATACGTCTTGTCTGCATAGAAATAAAGCAAAATACACTGTTGATTTTATTCTACTAGATTTTATACCAATTTTGTTTTCGATGTTTTCTTTGTAAAGTTGAAAAGGGTTGCCTATTTGAAGCAATGTTAATTCAAAAATCGAAAGCAAATCTAAATATACCCTTCGGATGGGTTTTCTGTTGTTGTTTGTTTTCAAACTGAGATAAAATTTATAAGGATGCTTATTTAAAACAGAAAGAGCCCGAAGTAGACGTAATTAGTGTTGATTTTCTTTCACATAATAGAATTAAGTATAAGAAAAAATCCGTCTTCAGAATTACCATCAGCTTACACCTTACTGGTATTAAGTTTAGCAAAACTAGTAACTCATGATCAGTCAATACTGTCTTCAGAATTATAAATGTTAGAATTATACTGATTACTTCCTATTTTTTTAAGTGTAATATCAAATGTTGTTTCTATTGATAAAGTCTCGATTGTGCACCTGTGCACCGAAAGTAATTAAGGAGGTTCGATCCTGAGCTTGTGAGTAGATTTTTGTCCGGACCTTTATTTCTAGAATTCTGCATCATATTTTAGTTTTTACATTAAATCGGATTCTACAATGCAAATTAAACTATATTCAATTAAAAACCCACAATTAAATTTCATTAAAAAAAGTATTAAGTGAGGAACTATATTTTGTAGCGGAAGGTTTCTTAAAAGAAATGATCATTTTTTGTCTTTCGAGGTATTTAAAGTAATGTCGCGTTTGGATTACTATTTTTCCATGAAGGCTGCACACAAAGTTATTTTGTGCAATGAAATGTTTCATGCTGGTCCTGAAATATTTATTAAATTAACTTTCATGAATTCTATCATCATATTGTGCTAAACAAAGCAAAATTTAATATATTTTGAAAAGAATAGTGCCAATTTTAACTTAAAATTAACACTTTTTTCAGTAGTATCTAAAAACTTACATTATAGACCCCCACTTTTGATTTTCTTTTCTGAATTTATAAGATAACATTGACCATTCTGCTTAAATTCAGTAAAAGTTTAAGACTTTAAAATAATTTTTTCGCTTTTTAAACTTTTAATGCCAGAAAAATCACATTTTGTATGTGCAGAAATGTCAAATACTTGATTATGCCATCTTGATGTAATTTAAAACTTTTTGTCACAACTTTTAATATGTCTTTTTAGGATAGAATAAGAGTATATTTAGTCCCATTATTTATTTGGATAAAAAATATTGGAGGAAAAACTTCGTAGAAGTGATTTATGTTTAAGGCACAATTTTAGTGCAAAAAGGTCATATTAAATGTGCTATAAAGCCGAAAGAAGGATATTGACCCCCATTTTTGCTGTTTATTTTTAATCAAGCTTTTTGTGTAGATACTTGACAAAAAATTCTTAAGCCATTTGATAGCAGGATCCAACCTCCTTAAAATGCCTGTGTACTAGATCCATGTGATGTGTTGAATGATATCTGCTGAGAGACTAGGGTACCACAGTACTTACTGTCAAACACAACTTTATCATTCATGACAACTCCTTTTGAATGATCAGTCGCCTCGAAATAAAAATAGTAAGATCCTTCATATGCATTTGATGGACCCGTTCCTCCCGTAGGTGTTGGTCCCTGAAATGATGATGAATTTATATGATAGTTGATTTTAGTTTCCTTCAATAATTAGATATAACGAGAGTGTTCCAAGGAACGCATGTGTCGCCTGCTTTGTAGCTTCATAAAAGATGTAAATAAATCTAAGTGTAGTTAGCTATTTATTTACCATTAGTACGATAGTTCATGAATACACACATAGTATAAGACTGCGATGAAGTCTGACAATCAAAGAAAATATGATTCCCAACCCTCAAATGAATAATTAAGTTGAAATTATTATTAATAATAATTTATCATTTTACATGTGTTAATACCTGTTCCAAAGTCTTTACACCAACTGTCACTCTACACGATCTGTTGTTGGATACGGATCCCGATGTATTTTCATAAAATTTAAATTTCAGTTTGTGTGGTAACTGAATATCATACAGTTTCAAAGTACAGTATTATGAGCTCATAAACATGTATAAATGCTAATTATCAACACCCCGCCTCTCAAAATTCACAAGTCTCAAGATAAATTAAACTGCCCGGGGTATTTTTTGCAAACTAGGTCAAAGGTCAAATGAATTGTAACGCTGGTATTTTTCATAATGTTTTATGAAAATCAGCGCACAAGCTAAATAGCATAGACTTACCCCTTAAATGTCAAAAATATGCTTTATATTGCTTTATATTGGCACTGTTAACATTTTGTAAAAAAAAAAAAAAGGCAAAGGTCAAGGGTCACTAGGTCGGTAACCATGGCAATGCACAAATGCCATAGTGCCAAACAATATATGTGCAAAATATCAAGACCATATATCTTACAGTTCTTGAGATACAAGGTGTGACAGACGGACAAACGGACAGACGGACTGACGGACAGACAGACAGACACCGGGTAAAGTGATCCCTAAGTGCCACTCTGTTTTGCAGGACACAAAAATGATAATTTGTTAAAGGACATTTATAAAAATAATATTTGAATAAAAACAAACAGCAAAGTAAATGTTTTCGTCTAACCTTTCTTCTAAACCAGGACGATTTGGGATCATCTGTATCCAAGAAGCAAGCTGGGTCGTTCTCAACTTCAAATCGACAAGTATTACCTAATATTTAAAAAAAATCGTAGATTTGAACTGCTCTTTAATCATGGCCATAATATATTGGTACAATTCCAAGGAATGGGTTATTCTAGAATATATATATATATATATATATATATATATATATTATAATTCCATCAATATAAATCGGATAGTGACATTTCACTAAACTTATACAATATTTTTTTTTTTTTTATCAAATCTATCATTTTTTTTACTACCTTCAATCCAAAAGCCAAATTTCATTTTTAAGTAAAAGCTACATGCAATATTAGCATAGTTCAGTGAGTATGGTCTTAGAATCTTACAATTCAAAAACACTTTCATAACACGGGAATGATTTCAGAAATCAAGAAAAGAACGTGTTTATTTTAAGTAAAGGTGACTCAATACTTTCGAGTAATTCCGAACATAGTACGTGTAAACTTGCCTTATGGCTTTATGGAAGAGACCAGATATTTACAAAGGCATACAATGGTAAATTGTATCTTGAGGTGTAGATTGTCATAAAGACAGACCTAAGCCTCTGGTATAGGTGAACCAAATGGATTATTTGAAGCCCTGTATATTTGTTAATATATTGAAATATTACAGTAATTCTATTTGGGGATTTAAGAAATCGAACAGCTTCTCAGCTTTTATCGAAGAACAAGCACTTACACTGTAATCATTTGAAATGGAAAATGGACAGAAAGTATTGCAAAATCAATAAAATTTATCGATAATCATTATATCGAAGATGAACAATCCAAAATGTATCTAGAACTTTTTAAAGCAAAGTCAATTACTGTTCAAAAATTACCTCTGTAAGAATCCTAAAGACAATGGCACATTTGATTTTTACTGTAGATGAAAATATATTTCGAAAGGATAAGTTAACCCGTAGTAACGAAAAACGGAAAATACCTTTGAAGGAACATTTATATTATATAAAACAGAAGTATGTTTGATAAAAACTTATGTATTATAGTTCAAATGATGCTTTGTTACTTAGAATTAAGTAGTAAAATAAGTTTTTATAATTTAATTCTGGTTGTAACGCTGTATTTGATTGAATAAAAAATTACTTTATAGCGTATAAAATGGGTTGCCTACGTCACAATGACTTGCGTCAAAAACGTATCGATCCGCCCGACGTTACATTCAAATTTTGTACAAATTGAAGTTATATGTAAGGGACAATCATCTTTTTTTCTTATACCAAATTAAAGAAAATTAAATTATAAGGAATGAACTTAATAGCTACCCAGTTTATACGGTATAAAATGGGTTGAAACAGTTTACGCTTTTTTTATAAACCGCTTCGCGATTTATAAAGCGTAAACTGCCTCAATCCCGTTTATACCGTATAAAATGGGTAGCTATTAAACTCATTCCTTAATTGAAAGATATTCTACTGAGAAAGGGGAGGGGGGGGGGGATTTCGAGGTATGAAGAGACCCACGAAATTTAATTATACATAACTACTCAACACCTCTCCAACCACCAAATCAAATTCACAAAAAGCAATATTCATTTTCCTCAAAACTGGAGAATTTGACCCCATGAAATTTGCATTGAATATAAGGCATGCATGTCTATACATGTAATCGTTCTCTCCATAAACTAAGATTACAGCAATCATAAAGATGTATAGATCATTCCGCCTATCACAAAGTTCTGTTTTTTTTTTTTTTTTTTTTTTTTTTTTTTTTTTTTTTCATAACAATATACCTATAGAACCACTAGGGGATAAAAGGATTTATATTGTATTATACGTTAATTAAAAAAAAATCGACAGGGGATGCTTTCTCTTCCATGGTACCTGATCCCGTCTCTGATGTTTTTTAGAGGCTCTGCTCCTGATTTTCATCGTTTAAATGAACTATGAGCTTGAATATTGTTCGTTATACGCATATTTAATACAATCATTTTGGATGTTACTGAAGATTCGGGTTCGATAAAACTCTATTGGTCATAATTTACCTTCACATCTGTCCCCAACATAACCAGTTAGACAGCTGCACGTGTAACCTCCTATACTGACGTGGTCTGCCACACAACTTCCTCCATTTTGACAATCACAAACATCGACTTTGAAAACAAATGTCTAATTCAGTGAAATTCATCCTAAATAAATTTATAGAGGTTCTTCAAAAAGCTTTTGCCTAGCAAATTGATCAATTTTCTAGGCGTTGATCAACTTTACTAAAAACTTTCTGCAGACTATTATCCTAAGTACTTTGTTTATCAAAAATTACATTTATTCCACCTGATTATTCCGTGACCTTAAACATTTGGAGAGAGTGTACTTTGGTTTTCATGCTTCACAGATTTTTTTTAAAAATCAACTACCGACTGTACTTTCAGTTCTTTGATTATTATGCTTTTTCGATTGTCCCTGATTGTACGTAATTGTTTATAAACGTAATAACATACCTCATAATGCTTTCAATACAGAGAAAAAGATGCTTACTTTCACACATTTTCCCTGAAAAGCCTTCCGGACAAGAACATGTGTACTCCGATCCGGTTGGTGAATTAGATGCCTCACAAGTCCCGCCATTTTTACATGGATTGAGATTACAGATTGTGCCTGATATTACATAAACAAAAAAAAATACAATATGAAAAAAATTCTTTACCGATTAATATATAACTATTGTTGTTGTAACTGTAAAAATAACTATTCCTATAGATAGAAATAAGACACACATGTTGTACATTCGTTTATGCATACATAGTAAAGATTTGTGATTTGGAATATAATTAAACAGGGCATTTTATTGCTTAACAACTTACATGATCCTGGGCGAAGATAGATATTGTCCACTCCAATAAAAGAATATCCCATAATGCCTTCTATACTTATCTGTTTAATATATTATAAGATAAATAAAATTTGACAATTCAATACAGAAAAAAATACAGACATGAATTGTGACTTATCCAAACACTGCTCTCAACTTATATGCAATCGAAACTTCTCGGAGCTTTCCGACAAGCGGAAAAACAACTTCGAATGTGTTACGTAGGCGTCCATGACCCTCCCCCTCCTTTTCATAAACTTTGAAATAAATGAAGAGAAACCTCTTATCTGTAGAGTTTGGAGAATGTTAAGATGTAGTCAAGTGCATAATTGTAGATCTCGTTTATTATTATTACTTTCCGGATTTTTGTGTCTTTACCGTTATATATTATCGTTTTATTGTAAAGTTTTATGACGACATACGAGGCACAGATAGATGCCATGTGCTGTTCTGTTTAACAGGTCGAGACTACTAGATTTTCTGACGTCAGCATAATTAGCTATCTGTTTACTTTACCGACTGACCAATCAGTTGAATGAGTCGCAATGCATTATGGGCTACTACAAGTATCAATACAAACTCTGTGTAATTGAATATAAAAAATGTCCCTAGGAAACTCATTTTCAATTCTTTTTTTTTTTGTTTTTTTTTTTTTTTGTTATATTTATGAAAGAAATATTGAAAATGATGTATAATCTTTCATTTCTATGCTCACATTTACAAGATTTGGTTTGCATATATATATTCAAAGATCTTTTTAAATACATGATCGTATACATGTATTTTTCAAAAAGAACCAGAGCTTGAATATAGACAGAGCAATGTTTACAAAAAATGAATTTCGGATTTAATAGTATTTCAAACAGGTTGTCACATGCGGTTATTTAAGGTGTTTCGGAAATAGATATTTTGTAAATGTTTGTACGTTTATATGTCAGTTATCAATTTTATGCCAATTTGTTATATGTAGTGCCAGATAATATCTCTAGAAAACACCTATTTTACCTAACCGTCTAGCGTATATTGCGTTAACATATAAGTTTTTTTTTGTTTGTATATTGTTTAACGTCCTTTTCGAGAATTTTTCACTCACATCGAGACGCCACCACTTGCCGATGGAGAGCTGCAAATTTTGTCCTATACTCGGCACTTACGGTCATTGAGCAGTGAGGTTCTTTTTCGTGCCAGCACCTACTGCGACACGGGACCTCGGTTTATACGGTCTCATCCGAAGGACCGGTCTCCACGTCCCACAGTGGGATTCGAACCCGCGACGTAAGCATCAAATCCTTACTTCGCGACTCTAGAGCAGACGCTCTAACCACTGCGCCACGCGGGCGACTGTTAACATATAAGTAAGTTAAAAAGTTATAAAGAATTGAAGTACCACTAAATCCTCCATTGATTCTATGGATACTCTTGCTGTCTGCCACTTGTAATTTGTAGTTGTTTTGACATTATATAATTTGGTCTTTGTGTGTCCAGTTCCTTCCACAAGTACATTAAGCTGAGTAGAAGGAAGCCCGGATGGAAACGTCCCAACAGCATAATCGAAAGATAGGCATCGGTCATTTGCTAAAAAATAATTAAATTAGACAATTTGGATCGGGAATGAAAACCTTCCCTTTTTTTATTTATCCTCAACGAAACAAGTATTTTAATTCGTTCGCGTGTGAAACATATGCTGAAATATTACATATGAGGCTTGTCGGGTAAAATTATATAAGTGGTGTCTGAAGTAAAAATAAACCACACTGCGTTCACAAGTTTCACTTTTCATTTGTATTCATTAATATGTATACCAAATTTTAAAAAAAATGAAATAAACAAAATATGGCATTTTATGTTATATGTCAAACCCCCTTATGGAGCACATATGATAACTACAACTTATCTATATAAAAAAAAGTCGAATCAGCCAACACCGATACATGAATTTCACTCTGTAATCAGGCAAGTGACCCATCCCGAACACACATGGGTCCTTCATTCTGGTTTTGAGTTTTACATGTATGTTAACGACTATATCCTTACTATATCAACGAAACAGGCAATCTTTGCGAATAGTTTTTCGACGGCCTCGATTGATAGCACCTTTTATTACTGCAAGTAGCCGTTTGTTCATACATGTATGTTTTGATCTATCATGGATCTCGGTATGAAATCTTCCGCTTGAAAGTCGCCCATACCATTTTTATACCAAAGATCAAGTGATATACTGATATTTTTGGTCTTTTTTAAAACATCGGTGAAGCGATAGCTCTAGATCTGTATAAAGTTGAAATCTCTTTAGTGCGCCGTGACATCATCAACCGTCGCCATCTTTTGTCTGTTGTTCTTACAACTTTTTTTTCATTTCAAATACTCGGGAAACTGCTGTTAATTGCCCAAATCCCTTGAAAGTCTCAAAATGACGAAATAGTAGGTATGATAGCTGCAATCTGATGTATTTAATGTTCTCCCCCTTAATTTTGAAATTATACTAGCATTTTTTTTGATGAAACCGTACTTTTTGGGTCCATAGAACATACCCTGCACACTTTCAAGTATATTAATATTCTTATCTTTATTCTTGTCTTTATTTTATCCAAAAAATGTTATACTTAAATATGATAAATAAACACTTACTGAAATTTGCAGCCGAGTCATCTGATCTTTTTTTAAATTAAGATAGCGTTGTCAAAGATTTTACCGGACAACCCTCGTATGTTAATTACGCACTTTGTGTTTGATCTATATATGCTTTTCAATTTTATCAAATGGGCATAAATAATGCTTTCAAAGCTACTTCTTCACTTGAATGTGGAATGTACCTTTAATTTAACAATAAATAATAAGCTACCTGTAGATCACATGTAAACTGGAAACTGCCTGTAGATTATTTGTAAAGCGTAAACTCACTGTAGATTACTTTTAAACTTTGAAGAACCTGTAACTTACTTGCAAGCTGAAAAAAATCTTAGTATCTGTAAACCGTAAACTACTGTGGAAACTTCATTGTTCTTGGGGGACTAATGTTCGAGAATTTCGTGGTTCCCCCTTACCCACGAGTTTACATCCCCACGAACGTTTTTTTTTTTTTTTCTGGACATATTGATTCATTGAACCACCGTATAAACAAATAAGACCACGAAATTACGTCCCCATGAACAAGTTAAATTTTGCTTCCCCACGAAAATTAACTAACACGAATTAAAATGATTCCACATAACCTGTAGATTAGCTATAAAATGTAAACTTTCCGTAAATTACCTTTAACCTGAAATTACCTGCAGATTACCTTAAAATTCTAAGGTACTCGGTGATTACCTGTGAACTTGACCGTCGTTTTGATGATGGCTTTTGATCCAATGTCAAATGGAACATCGTCGTAGAATGGTGTCATGGTGAGAAACTGGTAGTCAGTGCCATGTGTCAAACACTGTTCTTTTGCAGTCTTACAAAGTTTCTGGTATATTGACAATAATATTATTTGAATATTTTATAATGCAACCGATACATTATTGCCTTGTTAATTCTTCCATCGCTAACGAAAAATCTATTGCAATGAAATCCAAGATTTCTGTGGAGACAGTTCAGAATTGCTTTACATACAGCACTATTCTTAAAACATAACAACAATATTTGTTAATGCTTAAAGAAGTAATATTTTTTTTAATCATGAAAGCATATATCCGAACAGAGGACATCCATTTTTAAGAATGAAATTTAAAGAGTTCTATGATACTACTATCATACAAGTACCCCGGAAAAATTCGAAATGACTTCATTTTTATCACTGTATCTACCCTTAAAACTAATATTTCTAATTCATTTCTAATTCTATTTCATAGTTGCTCAGCCTTTCTTTGTAAGATATTACAACTATAAATCAAACTGAACACCCCCCCCCCCCCAAGAAAAAAAGAATAAATAAATACATAACTACCGAATTGAAGCTCCAAAGAATGTCTGATGCCCCGGATGTATCTTGGTCAAATATACATGTCCCAAAATCATCCTCAAAATTACAGAAATTTTGTGAGAGTGCTGTAAGGAAACAAAAGAAAAGAGCATTTCAAATTATTTTTCTGCAGATCTACTAGTGTTTTCTTCCTCGGTGTTCCTGTTTTTCTTTTTTTCTTTCTCCTTTTTTCTTAGGTAGAGGAAGGGGGTGGATTTGGATTTTATTTCTGTTTGTTCATTCTCTAACTTTACTTTATATATTAAGAATATTTTGTTAAATAATATCGTGATTCAAGTATCTTTAAATCATTATTGATTTCTTAACTACAGATTCTTTCATCTATTAAAATTGACAATTTTAAATTTCATCCTAAAAATATGCTTTACACATATTTTCATCAGACGAGCTTAAGATATATCAAACTAATGTTCAGTAATAACAATGTGTTATCTTTAAATCACATTTCAATAATAAAAGTCTTAGTACCTTTTAACTCAAAACTGTTCAATAATAACAGTCGTATTACCTTTAAATTCATCACAGTGTGTTCCTGTCAGTCCGTTTTTACAGGTACATGTGTACGATCCGTCTCCGCCTCCCTCTGCGCATGTTGACCCCGTTTTGCAAGGGAAACTCATACAGCCTGTTAAAAAAACACGTAGTTATGCTTTTTTTTTTTTAATTTCAAACACTGCATTGGGTTTGGCGGGAGTACACAAATCTGTGTCTTCCATAAAGCAAGTACTGTATTGATAATTTTACTTTGAAAAAACATTACCAATTTTTAACAAAAAATATAAGAGCATGCTCTACGTATGAACAATTTCTAAAATGAGGTACGCTCACTCCTCCATGGCACCTGATCCCACTTCTGATGTTTTAGAGGTCCGTGTTTGCTCTGCTCCAAAATTTGTATTGTTTAATGGACTTTTGAGCTTGAATACTGTTCGTTATCTCCATACATTTCATTTATAGCAAATCACCACGGACCGGATATTCCATTGATTTGATAGTTGCATATCACACGTCTTTCATACCTTGAGGAGAAGAGTTTCTTTCTATTCTACTTGTGATATATTTTCGTCTGAAGTGGGTGTGATAAAAATCTCATTCTTTCAAGACAATTTATGAACTTCGAATGTTAAATGTTTTGCCTTTTGTAAAGGAAACTTCAAATTATCACCAAAGATCGGGTATTTAAACAGGGACATTGCTTGGACAGTCTAAATGAGATAAACTATTCTTTTTATCTTGTTCACAAATTAGTTGTTGAAAATATAAAGGCAATGTACGCATCAATCATATTCAACTCAATGAGATGTTAAAACAATTCTAACCATAATAACTACGTCATTTAGATTAATTTTTTTATCATTAATTTTATTTCTACAACATTAAAGTCATTCTTTAATTCATTGAAACTACATTTACATTATATGTCCCTTTAGATTTTATTCCACATTTCCAATTTCTTATAAATGATACACGATTCATTTATATACGCTGATATTTATTTTTTACGTCAATGAAGTCACTAATAAGTGAAGTATGACTTTTCTTAACTTTGTTTGTTTAGTAAGTTGAAGTAGTAATGAGCTTGTTGACATTATACATGTAGTTACTTGTGATAGTTATTGGTTTTGAGGGCAAAAACAACACACATTCTATGCCCAGGGATAGTCAAACATTTTGTTTTCCTACATCGCTGGTCGTAAAGCCAATTTACATTTCAATTCTTAGTACCATTCTGAGAAACTGTGAAATTACAAATTTTCTAAAGGGGTTAATTTTGGCTGTTATGGTGTTATGAAGAGACTCATGAATCGACAAATTCTACAGAACGTTAAAATTTCTAAATATGTATCATTTTCACTTCGTTAACCAAGAAATTGAATCCCCAAGATTCTTTCTTCCGAAGAACGAAAATCTGACCCGCGAAATAAACAAGAGGCCCATGGGCCACATCGCTCACCTAAGCACATTAGCTAGACACAAATCAGTTCAGTTTTGAAAAGATTACTGGGGGTTGGGGGGGGGGGTGATTTTTAAACTACCTGATGATGCTTCCATGTCAATATAACAAATGGCTTTGTTGTACTTGAGAAGATTTTAAGATTTTTCCCATATATTCCTTTGTAAAATTTTGATCCCCCATTGTGGCTCCTCCCTATCCCAGAGGTCATCATTTGAACAAACTTGAATCTACACTACCCGAGGATGCTTCCATATCAATATGACTAAACATAGCTTTTCTGTTCTTGAGAAGAAATATTTTTTCTATGTGTTTTTATGTAAAACTTTCGATCCCCATTGGGCCCCACCCTACCCCTGGTGGTTATCATTTGAAAAAAAATTGAATTTACACTACCTGAGGATGCTTCCATATCAAAATGACTAAACATGATTTTCATTTCTTGAGAAGAAGATATTTTCCAATATGTTCCTATGTAAAAAATTTTTGATCCCTCATTGTGGCCCATCCCTATCCCCGGGGGTCATCATTTTAACAAACTTGAATCTACACTACCTGAGGATGCTTCCATATCAAAATGACTAATCATGGCTTTGCAGTTCTTCATCAGAAGATACCTTCCTATATATTTCTATTTCAGACATTGATCCTCCATTGTGGCCCCGCCCTACCCCAGGGGGTCATGATTTGAACAAACCTAAATCTACACTACCTGAGGATACTTCCACATAAATATGATCAATTAGGGCTTTGCTGTTCCTGATAAGAAGATTTTTATAGATTTTTCCTATATATTTCTATGTAAAACTTTGATCTTTCATTGTGGACCCGCCCTATCCCCCGGGGTCATGATTTGAACAAACTTGAATCTACACAACCTGAGGATGCTTCCATATAAATATGACTCATCATGGCTTTGCTGTTCTTGAGAAGAAGATTTTTAAAGGTTTTTCCTATATATTTCTATGTTAAACTTAGATCCTCCATTGTGGCCCCGCCCTTTCCCCCAGGGTCATGATTTGAACAAACTTGAATCTACACTACATGTACCTGAGGATGCTTCCATGTAAAAATGACCAATTAGGGCTTTGCTGTTCTTGAAAAGAAGGTTTTTCCAATATATTTCTATTTTAAACTTTGTCCTCCATTGTGGCCCCGCCCTACCCCCGGGGTCATGATTTGGACAAATTTGAATCTCCACTACCTGAAGATGCTTCCATATAAATATGACCAATTAGGGCTTTGTTGTTCTTGAGAAGAAGATTTTTAAGGGTTTTTCCAATATATTTCTATGTAAAACTTTGATCCTCCATTGTGGCCCCGCCCTACCCCCGGGGGTCATGATTTGAACAAATTTAAACTTACACTACCTGAGGATGCTTCCACATGAGTTTCAATTTCCCTGGCTTTGTGGTTCTTGAGAAGAAGATTTTTAAAAGATGCTATTAATTTTTCACTAATTCTTTATTATCTCCCCTTGAAAGAGGGCGTGGCCCTTCATTTGAACAATCTGGAATTCCTTTCACCCAAGGATACTTTGTGCCAAGTTTGGTTGAAATTGGCCGAGTAGTTCTGGAGAAGAAGTTGAAATTGTGAAAAGTTTACGCCAACGCCGACGACAACGACGACAACGCCAACGACAACGACGACAGACAACGGACAAATTTTGATCAGAAAAGCTCACTTGAGCCTTTGGCTCAGGTGAGCTAAAAATGGTTTTTAGTAATAGACTTTGTTATGACAGTGCTTTCACAAAAGATTTAAGGATTGAAAATGGTGATTTTTTTGCATCTCAAACCTAATATGACATGAAGTTGATATCAATTGTAAAATCAATCATTTTCGTGGTTCCAAATTTTCGTTCACTACTAAAAATTTACAGAGTCGTGAGGACCTAATTTCCATGGTAAACACTTTGTTATACCGCAAATATTTCATAATTTGGAGGTAAGCAGAACCCATAAATATTTACGAAAATCCCTCTCTCTAAGCATTACAATTCAACCAAATTTTACTTATAATTATTCTTCATGGGGGGGGGGGAATTATAAACTTTGGATTGAAATAGTATACATTGGATTATATCTTACTAAAGACAATGGACAAACAGATACACTGGCAAAAAATAAATAAATAAATAAATAAATAAATAAACAACCCCCTTTACAAAGTTGCTGGGTACAAGTACAGAAAATATTGTGACGTCACAATACACGTAATATTTTCCTGATGTTTTCAATATCAAGTACATCAACGTCAGTTAACTTTACATTTTGGTAGCAATATCCAGAGCTTTTCAAATGCCTCTCGCCCTAGTCAATGACAAATTAAGGCCAGTAATAGCTAAGCACAAGGACAAAATTGCACAAAAGACTTCATGTTCTACAATAGTGTTGATCTAGAAATCAATAGAATAAGTACGTAGACATTTCAAATTGTACTTGTCATTTTATAAATTATAACTTATATTAGTTCATAGGCATTATCTCCTAAGTAATGTGTGTTTAGATAAAAAGAATTTAGAATGAAACTACTATAGATTCCTTATTTTTCGCGAGTACCTAATATATCGAGATGGTCCTTTGACGTCAAATCGCGAGAACAATTATAATCGCGAGTGGACGGTTGATCAAGAGATTTTTTAAGGATTTTGACACCATAAAAAGAAAAGCGAGTAAATTTATTTCGCGAGTGGTGCTCCTCAGGAAATAACGCGATTAATCCTCGCGTATATTTAGGAATCTACAGTAATATATCACTACCTGATTGAAAGGCCTCCACTGTGATGGAGAAACCTGTCCCTGGCGTGTGGTCCCTCTTACTGTGGAACCTGATCATTAAAGGCGATCCCTCACCAATATTAAATTGGGTGTATGTTTTTGGCGTCGCAGATTTTCCACACAATCTGTTGCAAAATATCATATTTATTCCAAATTACTCTAAAGATAATTTCTAAGAAATGTTTAAAGTGTGTATGAATGATTGCATAAGAATACTCTTTTCCAGGATCTCCGATGAGGTAATCACGGATTTCCAGCCAATGGTAGCACTCCTTTCTTGCGCTGTAGGGGAGATCAATGGATGTGACGATGGCTCTAATTACTGAATCAGATTCAGCCTAAAATATTGGAAATGAAAAAAGGCTAAGGAGGTTTAGGTAAAGTTCGGCGCTGACCTATAATATAAATTGTGAGGAAAATTCGGGTCCTTAAAACAGTAGTATATTGACGCATCATTTCATTTCAATTAAGTGTTTAAACGATTCTGTCTTATAATCTGTGCCAGACTGACAGACTGACTTTTGTACAATCGTGCCAAAGGCTAGAGTTTTGCTGCAAGTAGTAAAAATTGACATCAATATAAATCCTTTCATACACAGAGAAAACGTGACGCTCATCTTTCTAACCGATCAAATTTTTGTACGTTTACAGTATTTGTTATTCAGCATATCTAGATCCTGTATAACCGTTGTTTAAGACACCTCAAGAGGATCGTCCTGCTTTCCCTAATAAAAATTGCTAAGGTTAACTATAGCAAAATATATTTTACAGTAGTTCATACTTTAACACGTTGATATATTATAAACTATACTCCTGAATTTTCTTTTTACATTTAGAGCCGGAATGTCTTTTATACTTGTAATCACACCAAAGATGTAAATTTTGGATATAATATGTGAAAATACAGGTCATATTTCCTTTAAATTGAAAAAAAAAAAAATCGCATGTAAAAATTGCAGAAAATGAAATATATCAATTAAAAATAGTCTGATTTACTGTAGTAAATACGTTTATTTACTATAACAAACTATAGTTACCTAACCTGGACTACCGGTCACATTTTTTTTTCAGGGTTGCGTTGAAAATGTTGAAACTGCTTTTAACAGCAGAATTTCAGTAACGGTAAAAACTTACCTTCACCAGCCATGTGCATGTTTTTCCTGATCTGTAGGATAACAAATTAATGTCACGTGATTCGCCGTTCAAGATTGTTATGGTTTCTCCACAATCTATTTTGGGGGAAAATTATCAACGTTGTTTAAAATTATTGACATACATGTAACAATGATATAAAAGACTAATAAAGCAGATACATCAAACGGTACTGATTATACCATAGTGGAACTACGTCTATTAAAAAAGCCCAATATGTATTACTCTTATTTGGCATATTAACGATTGATCTAAAAGTACAGATACTTACAAATTAATGAACACTCTCAACGTATTAATGATTGAACATCGCTCTGTATCATTTGGAACGTTTATCAATATTTATCGGGTCAAGTGTTCAAACCACGGAGCTAAGATAAGGAACTGTAAGTTTCCTTGAAAATATTTACCCATATAACTAAAGGGATATTCAGTCAACAATACAAACTTTTTCTTGACTTATGGATAAAAACATAAATGACATATCTTATGAAAAAAGTCATGATTAATGTAAATTGGAAGAATGTTAATGTAGTTGGTCTATTTCAGATCTCGGAAAAAAGAATGTAAATGGTCAGAAGTCAGATCAAAAAGACAATAAAAGAAACTTAATTTTCTGAACTTGTGTTTAACCCTTTTTTTTATGTGAATAAAATATATTCAATGCCCGTTAGTTTAAACCAATAGGTAAATAACTAAGGATTTAAAAAAGGCTTTTGACATATAATCTACGTTCATAAAATAAAAGGTCAACCTATTGTGGTGTATTTGAAAACATGAAGAAATAACCAACATAAAGTTGCTAAATTTCAAGATGAAAAATCCTAGTAAATGTGGAAGGACGTTTAAGGTCTTTCAACAATCTAAAACATACATGCATTTGAAAGTCTCGCATACATCTAAAAAAAACTGTATAAAAATATAGATAAGGTGAAAGGTTATTTTTAAGGTCAGGCAGTCAATGATCTATGTAGAGCATACTGAAAGTTTTGAAAGATGTCAATGTAAGCAAGAGATAGACAGAAGGAAACGCGTGGGACAAAATTACCTCGAGAATGGATACATATAAATTAAAAAAAAAAATGAGTCTTCCAAATTGTTGTAAATGTGACCTTTCTAAATATCAACTCACCGTCGTCTGTGTCCAACTCTTCACAAGTTGTGCCTTTTAACCCGGAAGGACATTGACAATGACATGTCTTCTGGTCCACAGCCTGCATTCTAAAGCCGTCGTTCTTACAGGTTAAACTGCAACTAGCTATAAATTAAAAGAAAAGAAAGATCAATCTGAATGCCCTCACTTTGCAATTATATTATCAAGATTAGAACATAAAACTTAAGAACAGAACGTATACAGTCGTCTGACCAGTTCCGAATTTTGATCAGTTCCGAATAATTAATAATTTAAGAACCTAATCGATTCCTATTCGCAACTGGTCAAACGACTGTACTATATTTCCTATTCAAGACAAAAATGGGACTTTTTTAAAATAGTTTGAAAGAATACACACACTCTTGCTTATAAGAGATTGCCACCACAAACAAAAGTCAATGCAAAGATAGAGAATAGAGCTACCTTGTGGTTGAACAAACCAATTAATCAATGATTCAATGATTAAAACAAACAACTGACCCGTTGCACATCTATACGCTTTGTTAACTTCTGCTATGTCGTAGAATGAGAAGCTGTACTTGGGATTAGAAATTAGGTACTCAAGGTCCTCATCAGGTATTGTCATTGTTTTCTTAAAACTTGACGAAAAGGACTTAAAAATCAAGAATATATGGCAGTGAAGCAGTGAATCACATATATGATTAAGTAATACGTAAGCGATCAACTTCTCTCTTCTGTAAATATAAATTTGATGTACCGTAGAATCATTAGATTTCGTAATGGCTCAACTTTCGTAGAATTCGTGGGTACCTCTCATCCTCGAATTAACATCGTCCGCGAATTAATGCGAATTAATAAACTACGGTTATAAAGTCATATTTCCTTTTGTAGGTATAAGAGAATACACGGAATTAAGTCCCCACGAACCTGTAAAATTTAAGCTATCACCGAAAATTGACCCAACGAATTTTAATGATTCCACAGTATGAGAGGAATTTTACATTTAGTACAGACTTAGTTGATGGAATTTCCGGGATGTCGAAATTAGTACACGGTGAGTGTCAGGAAACCTTCAGTTTGAAATCAATGTCCAATTTTTGTAGATGCTGCAGGACCTTATTTTAATATTGTGAGAGCTTGTACAACGTATCCCCAAAGTGTACCGAAGTGCACCAAAATTTAATTGTTTGCCTTGACATTTTGGCTAGATATTCCATCAATAAAGTCGAAAAAAAAATGGAAAAGTGTTGTCATGTGCTGAAACACAGCCTGTATCTATATTTTAAAGTAACTTACGATACATGTTTTTTTTATTTTTATATTGAGTTGGCATGATCTTGTAAAGCATAATTGTTTTCTTTCTTGTAAACGAACATATTGGATCGACCAATATTTATACTATTGATAGCATGTTCAGAGATTTTTATTTAATATCTCAGATTTAATATTCTTTTTTAAAACAGAATAAATATTACTTTAGATTAAACTTTTGAAAGTGTATTACTTGCTAAACACAGGTAAATTTAAAATTCTTACTTTTAGATGGTATTGCAAAATAGACCTATAGTCGTAGATTTCTCTGTTTTTCGTATGTAGATTGAGGACAAACTGATCAGTAAATTGAGTCTCGATATTTTCCCAGTTGATCTTCACAAAATTCTTTCTTCTGTCTCTCTGTTGTTCGTGAATCCCTCCCATCGCATGGTGCATTTCATGTAATATGACATATGCCTCAAAACACAGAAAAAGAAAAATTCTATCGTATCCCTGAAGATTTTGTTGCATGGATTTGCTACTATTGTTCAGTTTTATCCAGTTTTTGAGTTATATAAAGAAATTAAGAAATTCACATTTAAGTGATGATGTAAAGAAATATCAAATGAATTCAATACTTGAACACGAATGAAACTTACATCTAAACATCCATTACTAAGGGATATTGGTTGTCCACCTTCCATGCTCATATTACCAAGGTATGACCAACATCTATTGTATTTAGTAAATAGAAGATATTCAGTTTTTGTAAATGGATATGGAATTTATTTCACGGGATGAAGGGCAGGATTTTCGCTATATTTTCATAGGTGCAAAGCAGGGGTGAAAATAAAAAAAAACTGTCTCATGAGTGAAATATATTCCATATCCAAATTCAAAATATCACATTTTCTGTTTATTACATTTTGTTTATTTTTTTTTTCGTAACGCTGTGACGTAGGCTGTAACGTCAAAGTTGAGCTAAGTGATTGTTAGATAGGAAATTGTAGACATGGATATTAAAAATTTGGAGAAAGTTTGGCAGTTTTAGTCTGCTTCAGGATGGTTCATTTCCTCTAGCTACCTGATAACAGGAAGTATTTTTCTTTATAACACTTTTCGTGAAGGTAATGAAAACTTAATTTTGCAGCATTTTTGATATTTTTACAGTGGAAAACACACTTTTGATATTTTCACTGTGACAAATCACTTTCAAAAATATCACTTTTTACAGTGGATAATTTACAGTATTTCAAAGTTGAAAAAGTAATAAATCAAGTGTATATTTTATCAGTATTATAATTATTATGATGATTATTATTATTTTAAGTATCTCATATCTAAATTTACATCAATTATAAACCTAGTTTTTGTAATTCTAAATAATTTCTTATAGAAAGATACAGTCAAACACTAAGTAAAGCTCGCACATGCCTGCACGTGCAGATACACTATGAACTGTTCGGACACTTAAGATATACTTAGTTTGATTTAGTTAATTCATACACTCTAAGTGGTATTGTATTGCTACATAATGCACATCTACATAATTGCATTATTAACTTTTCTTCCTCTCGCATGGGACTGCAGAGGTGTAGAAATGTGTGTTAATTGGAAAATTTAGAAACAGAGTAAATTATTGGAGTGTCCGGATAACTGAAGATAACTTTTGTAATTGATTAGATATCCATGCAAATTTTCCCCATCCCAATCTCCCTTGCCCCACAGTTATTGGAGCTTTGATTACCGAGGCTGAGCTGTACAAGTGGGGTTATTTTTTATTCTCTTATAATTTATATTATATTTAGGTCGACATATACAACAGCAGAGAAAATACCCATGATTAAAGTTGCAGCATTGGACTACCAAACCTTGGTTCCATTAAATCGGGAAAATAGATTTTGTTCGTAAAAATTAGTAATTACCCAATATGATTTCCGATAAATTTTATGAAATATTTATCCTCAGGTGTTTTCAACCTCCACTTCACACACGTAGTTTGGGAAATATTGTGAGCAGTTTCCTGAACAAGAGTGGTTGCTTTACTTAGTCTTGAACCTATAATATAAATAAATACATCAATAACAAGAGGCCCATGGGCCACAACGCTCACCTGAGTCAATATGGCCCTGCTGTTCTTTGTCAGCAGATTTCTTCTTCTATATATTCATACGTAAAGCTTTGATCAATTGTTCTAGGCATAACTTATCCCTAGTTGCCATGTTTTGAATGAAATTGAATCTAAATTTTCTGAGGATGCTTCTATATTCATATAACTAATCATGGTTTTGCTGTTCTTGAAACAGAATTTACAAAGTGTCTGCCATCCTACCCTGGGGGGTAGGAAGGGAGGGGGGGTTGGGTTCAAGATTTGAACAAACTTGAATCTACACTACCTAAGGATGCTTCCATATCAATATGACTAATTATGGCTTTGTTGTTCTTGAGAAGAAGATTTTTTAAGATATTTCTTGTATATATTCTTTTGTTAAACTTTGATCCCCGATTATGGCCCCACCCTACTACTGAAGGATGCCTTGAACAAACTTGAATCTACAATACTTGGGGATGCTTCAATATCAAAATGACTAATCACGGCTTTCCTGTTCTTGAAAAGATTTTAAAAGAGTTTTCCTATTTATTCCTATGTAAAACTTTGATCCCCAATTGTGGCTCCACTCTACCCCCAGGGGTCTTGATTTCGACAAATTTGAATCTATACTACCTAAGGATGATTTCATATCAATATGACTAATTGTGGCTTTGTTGTTCTTGAGAAGAAGATTTTTAAAGAATTTTCCTATATATTCCTATGTAAAACTTTGATCCCCCATTGTGGCCCCACCCGACCCCCAGGGGTCTTGATTTGAACAAACTTAAATCTACACTACCTGAGGATGATTTCATATCAATATGACTAATTGTGGCTTTGTTGTTCTTGAGAAAAAGATTTTTAAAGAATTTTCCTATGTATTCCTATGTAAAACTTTGATCCCCCATAGTGGCCCCACCCTACCCCCGGGGGTCATGATTTGAACAAACTTGAATCTACACTATGTAATGAAGGTTTCCCATAAGTTTCAACTTTTCTGGCCCAATGGTTCTTGAGAAGAAGATTTTTAAAAGAAGACACCAAATTTTCACTTATTCTTAATTATCTCCCCTTGGAAGAGGGCATGGCCCTTCATTTGAAAAAACTTGAACCCCCTTCACCCAAGGATGCTTTGTGGCAAGTTTGGTTGAAAATGGCCCAGTGGTTCTGGAGAAGAAGTCGAAAATGTGAAAAATTTACAGACGGACGGACGGACGGACAGACGGACTACGGACAAAATGTGATCAGAAAAGCTCACTTGAGCTTTCAGCTCAGGTGAGCTAAAAACGCAATCATCAACATTCAACAAATAAAGGAGGAAAAATAGGGCGTAGTAAACATTTAAAACATAAAAGTGATTGCACTTGTTCAGTTAGAAATTTACAATTTGTTTGTTTCAAAAAAATAAAACAAAATAAATGAAGAGAGTTGTTTTCTTATAAGTAAACATGTTGTGTTTTTTATATGTGTTCTGCTACATGTTCAGAAGTTCTAGCAATCGTATTTTTTTAAGTTATAATGAATTTTTAATACATTTATTTATAAACTTTCTCATGCCCTGTGTCCTGAAGATTTTGTCCTGTTGAAATAAGTTAGTTGAGGATTCATTACTCAGCACTATTAATCAAACTGCTTGTCTGTGTCATGTTTAGGAGAAAAAAATGAAAAGATGTCTGACAATAATCACACATTTTCAGTTGAACAATATGAATCCATCCACATTCTGTAGACAAAAGTTTGGACTCTAGGAACTTAAATTTATCACTGGCAATGCTCTTTGTATCCAGGTAATCAGTTTGTCTGTCATTATTTACACACTGAATTGTCGACGGATTTTTCCGTTATTTCCCGATCATGACAAGGAGCACACGGCGGGTGTGACCGGTCGGCAGGGGATGCTCACTCCTCCGTGTTACCTGATCCCACCTCTGATGTTTTTGGAGGTCCGTGTTTACTCTGCTCCCGATTTGTATTGTTTTAATGAACTTTAAGCTTGAATACTGTTCGTTATCTCAATATTTCATTTTCAGGAATAAATATTAAGTATATAAAAAGAGACGTTTTTCAATATCATATATTTTTAAAACTTACTGCCCCCTTAAGAAATAGATGAAAGTATCCTGAATCTCAATTTTCCATTACCGAAAATATGGTACCTAAATTGGTTTAATTAAAGAAGTTAATTTGTTTTGAGGAAGAAGCTGGATCTGTTTAGTACAAACAACCAGTAAATATGTGTGCAGGATCTCTGAAAGTTTTGGTTTCTTCCATAACTTTTAAAAAGGCACATATCTTTTCTATTAATTTGCAAATTGTTTTATGCAAGAATCATTCAAAAAATACGTAGAAAATGTGCCTCTTCATCATAACATTTCTACAAGATTTCAGGTCAACACATCTTCAAATGTAAAAACACTTATTTTGTCGATGTGTGAAGTTTCATTCCATTTGAATGAATGAATCTCATGTTACTCAATTTTAAAATCAACACGTTTTGTGACTAAAAAGCACGCATAAAAACATTATAACGTCAAAAATAACATCGTAAAAGTTTCTTAAAATCACTCTGATTCTTCATGCCATACGAATCCCACGATCTGTTGCGCCTTATCCATTTACGAAAACGCCTCCATGACACTCGGCAGCTAGTTTTAGGTTAGTTTCGAATGTATTTTTAAATTCCTTACCGCGTACATGCAACTCTGCTTTCATAAGTTTCTCAGCAGTGAAGTGGACATCACTTTCCGTGACGTTATTATCTCTTTTGACGAGATTTTTAACTACCGGCATTATCTGTTTCTTCAAAAGCCGTCCATTGTTCGATTTCAAAGTCTCTGCTACTCAAAAATTGTCTTTACCATTTATATACAAAAGAACAGATCATTTTTAATATATTTCCTGGTTCCCCTTGCATTTTCAGAGTTGTTTTAGGGGTTTTCTGAGTACAAATCAATTTTATTCGCTATTCGCTGCTTTTTTTTCAATGAGATCTGTCTGTCTTTAGTAATTGATTTCTTTCAAACGAAACACTGTATTATAATACAATTTGGCATCTAAAATAATACAGCAATACTTAATTTGAACGATTAAAATTTGTTTCGTTTAAGAGCCATTTATTAGGCGTATGACTATAGACATTATTAAGTATATTGTTAGTGAATTGCTCAAATTTGACCGAGCTCCGTGACCTCATTTTCGCTGTCTTAAATTTTAGATAATTTTGATAAATATCATGATAGTTTCATTTTTTTTTAATTCAAATTATTTGAATTTATTGTTATTGAAGGTTCCATATATGAATTACAACATCTTTATCTTTGTCTTCACATTTTAGCTTGGGTTATAGTAAAAAAAAAAAAAGTAATGCCCAAGATGATTATACATATAATCCAAAACATTCTGAAGATAGTAAAGCCTGTCAAAAATCGACCCATGCTTATTCAAAACATGTCAGTATCATTGATAGACAAGAATAAAACATGTATATTCCCAATCTTAATTATAGAGAAACATTAGTGTATTTACATGTTCATTTTTGACAAAAAAAGATTACTCGTGACTTAAGATTTGTAGTCCTTACTGGTTCATTTATCAAGTTCACGGCCGCAGAAAAATGTGACATGTTTGTTTCGGCCAATACTGGTTTAATCGAGTACAACAATAGAACTAGATGGTTACGCACTATATTCGTGTGTTTATCACGACCCACGGACCTCTTGTTTTCAATATACAAAGTATACACAGAGAAATTCATATTTTCAGTTTTACGAAGAAGATAACATGACTCACCAAAAGAATCGGCATCAATGACGTATGGTATCACACCGTTTGTCCATAGACGACTTGTAGAGATTCCAAAATTTCTCTTCTCTCGTTCTGAGAACTGTGAAAATGTCAAAAAACATTTTAAAATATGAACTCAAGCATGCTTTTTAGAATGTTGTACATAGAACTAAGAAATCTTATTTTTTCTTGTCAAAGAAAGGGAGCTCTCATATGAACGTCAACAATTAAACAAAAATGACTTGGTAGAAAATATAACTCATTAAAAATCAGTGCAAATATTTCAAATCAAGCTGATTTGATTCCTATATCAACGAGGTACGCATTATTCTAACAATTAAGTTTTCAACAAACCCTTCACATAGACGTAATTACTTCTAGGTACAGAAATCTTGCAGACAATGACTCACGGCTTCTTAATATTATAGTCATTTAAGTTTGTCATTTAGCGACGATGACTTCTGTTTACAGATCTTTGCATGGTCTTAAACAAATAGGGATACTCCCGATTCTTTTTTTAGATTGAACTTTGTTGACCTCCACTGTATTGTAGGACACAGATATTCTCTCTCTCTCTCTCTCTCTCTCTCTCTCTCTCTCTCTCTCTCTCTGATAACTAAATTTGAGAATAACGGCCGACTTCGATGTCACTGAAGGTTTTTTTTTCAATTTTGTAGTCCGTTCTTACCTTTCTTATTCCAAAAACTACTGGCGGTGGTCGGTCTTTCTCGTCGTCCTGTTCTTGTTCCTTGTTTACACATAAATCATTGGGCTTTCAAGAAAAAAATATACATGTACTTGCAATTGTTCATGTGATAGCAAGGTTGTGCATATTATATAACTATATAGGACACTCTTAGAGCACATACATGTATCAGTTTCTTTTTTATGTTATAGTGTAGCCTAAATCCTAACGTAAACTTCAAAGAAGAGGCGATATTGTACTAATTCTTGTATTTTCACGAATTAACCTGCAAATCTAAATGTGGACTATTTTTCTCCGGCATAGTTTCTTGTAAAGTCATTGGATATTGGTTAATATCACTTTGACAAAGATTGCAAACAATTAACGAAGGGGGAAGGGGGAAAATTCTATCATATGTATCTTAAGCCAAACTGGCGTCAAACTTAAATTTATATATATCCAAATGTAAACCTTCTCCTGAAATTGCACGTGAAATCTGAACATAAATTAAAAAAAAAAAAAAAAAAACTATCACACACACACTCGCGCTCGCGCTCACACTCGCACATACACACAGTGGTGAAAAAGTATTTTTTCTATTGGTGCAGTTGATAATAGTACACGTCAGCGTTTTATGAAAAATGTTAAGATCGTTGTATTTCATGGAAAGATAAAATGTATAACAACCAAAATTCAGTGCTTCAGTTCAAGAATCAAAATATATATGGAGAAGAAATTCTTAGAATCGTAAAGTTATTTACATAAAAGAGAAATTGCAAATTATGCCTCGCTATTGAAAGGTCATCAATAAATCTACAATGTTTGCTTCTTCGTTCACGTTTCACAGCGGCTTCCTGTAAGCTTCGAATGATTAATATTGATAAAGATTAAAAGTTGGAAATGTTTTTTTAGGGAAACATTTTATGGATCAAAAATATTGTATTTTTATTCTTACCTTTTCATTATGTCCATCTATATGAACTGTTTGCCTTTCGGCATCTTCTTCATTGTCCGGACAAAGTTTACCCTAAAATATTTAAAATTTTTTGACAGCATCCTTTAAACTTGTACTATATAAAAATGAAAAATTTGAAGATAATTCCTCATTTATGTTATAACTGTAAGTAAAACATGCGCATTTAGTAATTTTTGCTTTTCCTTATAAGATAGAAGTTTGCATATGGTGATCGGAACCTTAAAGATGCCTAACTCTTCTTTCATTACTTATTGTAAAAAAACCATAATGGTTATCTACAATTTATCATTAAAGCGCAACGCTTTTAAGGTTAATAACCAACATAATCAATACACATGTAATACATGTATATATATTTGGCACGTGAGCTACAACATTTTTTAAAGTAAAATGAAACGTGTAGTCATTTATCCATCATTTACAGTCACTAAAACACTATACAATCCCCCTTTTGTGGATGCTTGGAATTCGATCTCTGCTGGCTCACCGATCGCGTTCACTATTCATCCAGGGCTCCCTTCCGCTCCGTTCTGTCACCATTCATTTTCCATACAGTTGCCGTTTTCTCTATTTTTACTCCTCTTAATAAGATATTAGCATTCGGCTTTGCTCTGAGTTTGCACTGTGATGCGTGTGCTCTCTTGCGTGCACCCTTCACTCATTCGTTCTCAGACCGTTCGATCCGCAAAAAGACACATGTTGTTTCGCATTGCGTTCGCCCACCGCAAGCTCTCTGTTGGCTTATTGATCACGTTGCGGTTTCAGGGGCTATTTGAGAACATATTTTCTTTTTATGAATGCGTGCTATGCTCGTGTTTTACTGCATTGTATATAATATATTTATTCTCCTTGAAAGATTAAAACTTCTATTTGAATTCTCTCCTCATAGAAACTTACCTTTTCTTCTACTTCGTTGGACCTTTGTTGTTCATTTGACGTCAATTTTTGTTGTTCATTTGACGTCAATTTTTGTTGTTCATTTGACGTCAATTTTTGTTGTTCATTTGACGTCAACTTTTGTTGTTCATTTGACGTCAATTTTTGCTGATTGAAGTGTTTTTCGAGAACATCTACTATTCTTTGTAATCCGTCGTCTGCAAAAATATAATTATACCAGTAGCCCTTTCACACACACAAAAAAAATCTCACGACTAAGGTCAAAATTTAACAACTCTGTATTTTCTTTCTTTTAAATAATAAAGATAATTATATAATTTTTTTTTTCTGAAAGGTTATTAACAACATATTGTTATATACTGGGGTAATATAAATATACGATTTTTTGCGACCTACTAAAATTAAGATACTTTCTGGAGTATATAATTGTATTTTTGGTCTAAGTCGTAATAAGATATTATGTGAAAAGGTCCACTGATAAATAAAGAAACATGCACGCTGTGTATTGCACATTCATCCCTCTTTACCTATGTTTCTTTTCCGGACTTGGAGACTACTTTAAGTTATGTACAGGACCATGAATGTATTAATATTTAAGAATTGTTATTTACATCAACAACATGTGAGAATCAAGAAAAAAAAAGTAACATCTTTCAGTTTCGGGGCTATTAATTGTAACAGGTTTTAGTTTAGAGATTATTAAGTGTAACGAGATTTTGTTTATTTGTGGCAAAAAAAAAAATATTTATACGTTTTTTAAAAGGCAAAATACATTAGTTTCATAAGAAAAAATCAAATAATTATTGTCGTAAAATGCTTACAAAAGTGACCGTTTTATACCGTAAAATAAATTAAATTCGATAATAAGAATTCGAAAATAAATTAAATTTGTAAATTAATTCGACTTTTCTATATGTTAAAAAAAAATTAATTCCTACTGTATCCATTGGAAAACTTTAAGCGACATTAAGCATACCGCGTAATAGTGTAAATTTCACCTCGACCTCCGAATGCGTAAAGATTAAGTTTTATAGTATTGTGATACCATTTTTTCTAGAGCTACTTTAAAAGCTGTTAGCGTTAATGGAGGGTCATAAGATCCCAGTTCTGAAAGATAAAACGATTACTTTTGTAAGCATTTTATGACAGATGAATTCTTATTTGATTTTTTTATGAAACTAACGTATCTTGCCTTTTAAAACACGTATAAATAAAAAGACAATTAGGTTAAGTTTATGTTTATTAGCAGTGGTAAGAAAAAGGAAATATAATGCTAAAAATGTGTTACAGAGATTTGGTAAAAATGTTGCAGAGGCTTTATTATTGCTAAAACACATATTTATCACAAAATTTTCACATTAAACCATCTTTTTTTTCTCCATTATTCCCAGATTTATGTTTTTATATCTACACTGAAAGTCAATGCAAAAACATTATATGTAAAAAAAAAAAAAATGAAATTTCCTTAGATTAAAAAAAAAAAAAAAAAAAATATATATAAAATTAAATATTATTTTACCATTTAAACAGAATAATTTGAAATAAAAAAAAAAAAGAAAAGAAAATACAAGAAGGTTTGATATAATCCCTAATTTCTCCGATTTTGGGTATCCTGTGAGGTTAAAATGGAATATAAAATAACGAATGTTTGTTGGGAGATAATTTGATTTCAATTACGAAATCTGTCCCTGAATCACGAAGCAATTCAGAATTTGGTAAAAAGCTGCATACTGTGATTAGATAGTGTAGACGTCAAATATTCCTTAAAATAAATTTTAGTCAAGACTGGATCATCAAAATTATGTTATCGACACGTTTTTATTTTCAGCTCAGGTTTTTTTTATTCTTCTTTTTTTAGAGATTATAAAAATTTTGACTTAAAGTGCGTTTCGTGCTTCCGGGGCGCGTCCATAATTGACATGACACAGTAGTACTTTGAAGAAAATAGAAGTATCACAAGACGTTCATTAAAATGTTCCAGTTGTTCAAAAATATTTAATACTTCTAAAAGGAAAATAAAACACATTCCAAGTCTATTAGAAAAGACCTTGATACATTATCTTCTAAACAGAGAAAAGGTGTAGGATAAAATGACACACAAACATTCACCCTTAAACAGTTAAACCGCAGGGCAGAATTTAGTATTTATAGGTATTCCTAATACATTAATAAGTTCTAATGTACCTTAATTCGTGACAAAAATGTTTGACATCGTTTGATCATTTCAGTTTTCTTCATAGCCGAGCTGTTTTATTTTCTAAAACTGTCAATATTTGAAAAATATGAATAATTCAAAAGTAATAAGACATTTTAAATTTTTCTATAACGTAATACGAAGCGACTGCGGTATATTTGCCTTTGAAGTTTTCACGCCCTGATACACTATAGATTATTTTTAACTTTTTCCGATAACTTCCAATGTTCATCTTCCTTCAATATCAACGTTAAACGTGATGTTTTTGCCATTTTACAACTTTAGTATCAGACCTTTTAAACTCATCGGTGATTTCAAAACAATACTGGCAGTATAATTGATTTTGATATGTTTCAATACGTTTTTGATAGAACTACTCGATTCCAGTCAGAATATCGCATTTAAATAGATTTTCTTTAAAAATATAGAATTTTACAGCTCAAATTAAAGATACTTTAAGCGTGTAACGCGTTACATTTTTAAGCAGGGATTGTGCATTTTTTGTTGAGTAGAGTGTTCAAAAATGATTCTACAGTTTTCATTTTTCTCAAAAAAAAAAAAAAACAAAAAAAAAAAACAAGAGCAATCCATGTCGCTTGTGACGTCTATAACGATTTTGCATTCAGTGTTGGCAAGAAAATGAGATCATTTTTACAGGAAAAGAAACTGTAACGCAATTAACTAAAAGCGCGCATATGAATATAAACATTAAATTTACTCAATTACAAGAAAATTTAAATAGAAACAAATTATATCAAAATAATGTGCTTTTCTTATGGATTTGAAATAATTCATTAAACTTGATGTCAAACTGCATGCTTTGTAGCGAATAAATTGATTACAAGTTCAACAAAAATGTTCAGAGTCGAAAATGACGTACAAAAAGAAGACCCAATCGTACTTCGAGGGATTAAATTCTAATTTTTTCCACATTTATTCATAATTAATTATATGTTCATTATGTACTAATCCAAACGGTCAGAATGAATGTCGGACTGATAAATTTACTCAGATAATTAATATTTTACGCAACATTTAGGAGGTTCAACATATTTGTTAAGTGGGCGTTCTTATTGCGTAATTCCTTGTCCTTCAATATAATAAACGAGAATGCGTTAAAGAGTGATTTTAGTATAAACAAACTTTATCAAATCCAAATCCAAAGCGCCCCTTTCGTTCATTTGTTGAATAACAAGTAGTCTTTGATTTTTTTTTTGTTTTTGTTTTTTTTTTTTTTGTTTTTGTTTTTTGTTTTTTGTTTTTTTTTTTGGTTGTTGCATATTTCAAGTACCAAGAGATAGTGATAGGGCACCAGTCATACCAGTAGCACTATTAGAAGCGTTACGTCAATACTTCCTTAGCGCTTTTAAAATGTAACGCTAAACTTCACCAACATTACGCGTAAAGTCATCGTTTGTTATTTACAGATGTGCAAACACAATTATTCAATCTTTTGGATACAGTACGTGTCTTGTAGATTTCTCACTCCTTCCCCCTAAATGCCTCTATAATGTTGAACTACACGACTGCAACATTATTTAGATCTAAAAATTACATTATCTGGTTCACTAAAAAAAATTGATTTCTTTTCTATGTTCTCTCATATTTTTTTTTCCCAATGTTCACCTTGACTATATAATATGATGATTTAAATAAATTCTATTATTCAATCTTTTGGACACAGAACTTGTCCTGTTGATTTCTCACCGCCCCCTTCGACTTAAATGTTCTTCTAATATTGTAGAAACGACTTCATCTTGCCTATATCGCAGTATGTTTTTGTTATTTGCTAATTTACAAATCCAATTATTCAAACTTTTAGATACCGTACGTGTCTTACAGATTTCTTACTTCCCTCTGGGATTGTTTTGCTTTAAATTAAAAAGAGAAATGACATATTCTCGAGATCATCTGTACCCTCTTCATGATAAAGAATTACATTAAGATTCATGAGCAACAAAAAAAAAAAAAAAAAAAAAAAAAACTACAGTTTGCTTTGAAAATTAACAAACAAACCTTAACTCTTGGTTGTTTGAGTATCGAACGACAATCGACATTTTTCAGCATTTAGTGTTCATTTTTTTTTCTAGCTTATCCTTATAATTATACATATCATTCTTAAATCAATTCACTAAATATGAATTTAATGAAGAATATTTCAAAGAACATTAATTTTAGAAAGCAAGGTTTTAAGCTATATATCCATGTCACTTAAATACATTAAACGTTGCAAACTACATGTGATTTCACTAATATGAAATTAATGAAGAATATTTCAAAGAACATTAATTTTAGAAAGCAAGGTTTTAAGCTATATATCCATGTCACTTAAATACATTAAACGTTGCAAACTACATGTGATTTCACTAATATGAAATTAATGAAGAATATTTCAAAGAACATTAATTTTAGAAAGCAACGTTTAAAGCTATATATCCATGTCACTTAAATACATTAAACGTTGCAAACTACATGTGATTTCACTAATATGAAATTAATGAAAAATATTTCAAAGAACATTAATTTTAGAAAGCAACGTTTTAAGCTATATATCCATGTCACTTAAATACATTAAACGTTGCAAACTACATGTGCGTTTCACAGAAATACATTACCTTCCTCTGATTTTTCCGTCGTTGGCAATGCAGCCACAACGCTAAGACAGAATGAAAAGGCAAGTACTAATTCATAGAACTCGTTCATTCTCCGCATATTTTTTTTTTCTATTATAATATCTCGGCGTATCTTTGCTTTTCTTTTTTTAACATTGGCTTTTTTCCTCTAAGTTCTCTGGATTATTTTGATTCGAAGTTGCAGTTTCTCGTATATATATACAGTTACTGCCTGTCTATCATTCATGTATATGCATCGTCGGTTCCATAAGCAAAAAAATTGTCGCTCCCAGGTTGTTTTTTTGCATTCACATTGACACGTAGTGCCCTTTCTAAAGAGGAGATTTTTCAAAATCATATGACAGATTTAAATATCAAAGGCGGATTCAGCGCCGGCGCGCCGGGCGTGCGCCCCCCCCCCCCCCCGTTTGATTTTCTTTTGTTTTAAAATTTTGTTTGTATAACAAGCCTTTCCCTTCAGTTTAATCCAGTTTAGTACATAAATTGATAAAATGATACTACTGCGCCCCCCCCCCCCCCCCGTTACGAAATTTCTGCATCCGCTACTGAATATTTTCAATACATGCAATCCCAACAACAAAATTGAATTTGAAGTACAATACTTATACTGGATTTCAAAATTTCTTTTAAAAAAATCCTTACATTTGTACAAAGATAAATAGCGGGATTTACAAGTAGTAATTAAAAGTGTTCTACGACTCCTCAGGGAAATATTAACAGCAGTGAAGGAGAAACTTCATCAATACTGTGCAAAAACGGGAAAAAAAATAGAAACAAATTGTTGCTAAATATACTACAAAGGAAGGGATTTATTTAAATTGTACTTTTCATTACTGTTGACCCAGGCTAAGTTGCTTACAACATTTAACATATATAACAAAGATGTAAAAAAAAAAAAAAATGTACCTTTACTTGAGACCAATAAAATAATAAAATTTTCAATTTGATTTCAATTTTATTTGGAATATGTTTTGAAATAAATTATATGTTAGTAATGTAATATGGTGAACCAACATAAATGCTTCAAAGGTGACGATTGATGGACAAGGTTTCACCTGTATATAATAGTGCTTTAAACGATTCAGATGTATAATTAATGAATACTATATCTGGTAGTGGAAAATCATATATAATGTTAACGTTATTAATACTTGTTCAATGTATGTCAAGAAATGTAAGTACGGAACGAGTGGAACAAAATAAATAAAGGAAATATGGCGAAGAATCTATTCTCCTATTGCATTCCTTGATACTTATTGCAATGCTTTCCTTGATACATGTTGCATTAGTTTCTTGATATATGGTTCATTAGAATCCTTAATACATGTACCTGTTGCATTACATTCCTTGATACCTATTGCATTAAATTGCCCTCTATCCTTAAACTACCATTTCATCTCAAAATACCGTCTTTTTATTTTTTTTTAAATATAATTCTTTATCAACGCAGCATATATTCTAAATACTTTTAGGCTTTTTTCCTGAAATATGTATTTTTTTTAAAGTAAATACACATTGCCTTATGTACATAAAACTTTCTTCCAAGCAAGACTGGCAGATAATGATTCAGCATTATCACATCCAGGGAGAAGACGAAATTCAATGTTAATTAAACACCCGACATTTCACTCATGCATTCATTAGTTAAAACATACTACTAAAGCTTGGCTTATTTAAAACTGAGAAAAAAACCTACTAGTTTCAGAACTTAGAAAAATACTTTTATGGAGAAAAAAAATTATTGTCTAGCCAAGGACGGAAATAATGATGCAGTAGATACAACCTTTGTTTTCCAGCACATATATTTTTCACACTTTGCTTGCTTTACAGAGAAGATGATTTTTTCTAAACTTCGATATATTCACATTTTTGATAAATCTTTTGATTTTTGATACAAATATAATAAAAGAAATATATGATTTTGGCTCACTATTTCTCTTTTAACTAGAAAATGGGTAAAGAAAATCTTTATCTTCAGGGTATATTTTATATACAAACAAAAGAAAAAAGTCTCTTATTGCAAGCAATAGTAGTATATCATCCTAACTGTCCTATTGATAAAAATAAAAACACAGAGTCATGCATATGTTACGCTTGCTGGGATTGAACCAACAACTCCCAGATTATATCTTTTTTAAAAAAAATCTTGGAAGTGAAAGGATTAGTTTGAAGTTCACGTCAAAACATGGCCGACACATAATAATTCCTGAATTTTCCGTTTAAACTGAGGTATTTCTGCAATAGACGGACTTAAGAAGAAAAACTGTTTGTACATTCTCTCTCTCTCTCTCTCTCTCTCTCTCTCTCGAAAAAAGGATATAATAACATAGGTCAAATTTTGCAGCTCTCCACCGGCAAGTGGTGGCGTCTCCATATGAGTGAAAAATTCTCGAGAGGGACGTTAAACAATAAACAAACAAACAAAACCACCCGACCGTCCAGAGCACGATTCCTCAGTTTACCACTATCTACAGGACCTACCTTTTTCCCAAATTAAGGTGGGAGTACTTGTGGCCTATTTGCATTTTTAACTAGGATTGAAGGAGTGCAGACATTTTGCTAAAGGGGTCTTCTGAAGGTTTCAAACTCAATTATTCATGGTTCAAAGGTAGCTATCAATTGTTCTGATCGTCAGCTTGAGATAATGGGTTTGAGATTCTAGAGAACGTTTTTAAAGAAATTTATGCTGGGAGAGTTGTTGGCCCATTTCATTCAAGACCTCTTCCCAGTCTTAGGCTTTCACTCGTAGGTTTAGTACCTAAAAAGATGGCTCATTTAGGTTCATTCATCATTTATCTTATCCTGACAATACAAGTTTAATTTATTGACCCATCTTCCTGCTCATTCATTTACTCCACATTAGATGTTGCTGTTAGGTTGCTAAGTTGGTTGGTTAAGGGAGGCGTGAATGGAGAATGGACCTCAAATCTGCTTTAGGTTGCTTTCTGTCTACCCGTTAGATTTTGAACTTTTTTTTTTTTTGAAATTTCTTAGGATAAATAATAGTTTGTTTTTTTTTTCGACAAATGCCTGTCTATCGGTAGTTTATTGTCTTATAGTATCTTTGAGGAATTTTCATCTTGTTTTGACAGGAAATTGAAGCAACAGTCTGGACAGGAATCTGTGAGGCATTATGTAGATGACTGTTGTTTGCTAGTAGAGCAGGTAGCAACACATGTGATGAAATAATATCATTGTTTTTGGCCTGCCTTTTTAGCAGAAGGGTGTCCCTTTAGCTGATGCTAATTTCTATCGCTGATGACTTAACGATAGTAGTGAGGCCATATACATTGTCTGCCATTATACAATATAATTTTAGATCTGTGTGGTTTTTTCTCATAATTTGATTTTATTGCTGAAAATTAAATTGTGTTGATACAGAGGCCATTATTTTGGGTTATCGTGTCATTAGCATTTCTCGTCTTTCGTCAGTTAGTTGAATCCGTTGTTATTCCTTTTCTCCTTTCCGACACTGAAAAGGAGCAGATGCTCATTCCCATCTCCAGGTTTTTTTTGTTTTGTTTTTTTCAATTTTATTATATCATTGTTGAAAATTTCCCATCCATCCATACCCTGTATATATGAATGTATATTATTGTACATTTTAATTTTTGACAACTTTTCTGCCGATTATTTGTTCTGTTTTCAGCTTTGCCCATCTCCCAGGTCCAATAACTTTACCATTCGTCATGGCACACTGCAAACCTTTTTTTCCCTGCTGGTTGTTTGTACATGTATATCCAAACTGCTCTCGTACCAACACCCACAGAGTTGTGACTTTCAAAATGTGTTCCGCATTCGTTCGATGAATTTGTCTAGAGAATATCTCTTTCCCGGACTCGCTACGAAATTATCTAATTTATTTCAATATGTGTGACTTTGAAATTCCAAATTATTTGCATAATCATTTCAGACTGAATGAGACAGCGCAATCTTTAGCCGAACATAAATAGCTTTATATTTAGTGAACATCTGTTCCCAGGGCTCACTACAACTTTATATATTTTTTTTTCAATATGTATGACTCTTAAATTTCCAATTTGCTTATTTGTATCAGCCTGGATAAAACACGAACAATGTATGATTTGCCAGTATGTTGTTCAACAGATTTGTTTGCCTATTGTAGAATCATTTGTATGTTTGGCTATCCCATGTATATTTTCATTTCTATTTACACGTGCTTGCCATTTGGATTGTCAAAATCTCCAAATGTGCTTGGGTCGATAACCTTTGTTAGGATTGTAACCAGTAAATACAGTGTAGTTGTAATTGCAGATAACTTAAGAAATGTATTGTTGCTGTGGCCATTGTTCGCCATAAAACAGATGAAGAAGAAGGAATGACTGCACAAAATCAACTGATATCAAGGGAACCTAATTTCATTGATGAATATCTGAAGCACTTCCCGACAAAAGGTATACTTTGTATCTCTGTTTATCTGTACTGAAATTTTAGTCAATACGGAAGTTGTTGTTTTGCCGATAAATTTATTATTTCATCATGCATGGATAAATGTAACCTAAACTTTCGTGATTTTTTTATCGGGGGTTGGGGGGTTGGGGTTTCTTTGTAGAGTATCTTGAAATTTTGTGTCGATCTGAAGTCGTGAGACTTAGAGAAATATTCTACGCCGTGTTGTGATCAGTGTGGTCGGGAGGAAGGCGGTTATGGAAAATAAACTTGATGATAAACCATTAATATAAAATAACTAATAACCAGGTGAATTTGAAACTGATTGAAAGGTTGCTTGTGATATTAAATTCAAGATCATATTTTCCAACGCCACGATATTAAGCGAAACATCCTAATACGTCCTGTATAGATGCTTGATCTCCAATATTAGGGGCCGAACATTTTGTTATCTTAAAAAAAGAAGTTAAAATTCTTTATATTTTGCGATTTTTTTTTTAAGAAAACTGTTTAAGTAAAGCAAAAATAATCTTTTTGCAATTTTTTTTTTAATGAAAACTGTTAAAATAATGCATAAATAATCTGAGGTAAAAAGACATAATTTTAATGTTTTTTGTTTTTTTCAAAATGTCTTTTTCATTTGAAAAAAGAAGGAAAAAA